TACATGGCAAATACCATGTGGTTTCTACTGGGACCTTTTATTAGCAACATTTAATTAGCATAGTGCCCGGTACATAGTAAGTGCTCTACAAATATTTTCTGAATGAAAAACGTAAGTCATCAAGAAGCCTACATGAAAGTTTTTTTCACCAAATCTTGGTGACGGGTACAACTTATTCTCTAAAACTCTGGAGGATATTAGTAAGGAAAGCTTTAGTATCAGATGGCCTTACATTTTAAGCACAGGCTCTACCATTTCTTAGCTGTGACAGTGGTTTAAGTCACTAAACCTCCCTGAGCTTCGATTTCCTAATCCATGCAATGGAGCTAATAATGAAATATTATTTACGGTTTGATTTTGAAGATTTGCAATAATGTTTATAAAGAGTATGACACACACACTACTCAATAGATGGTGATGATGATAATGAAGGGAAACGCAGATTCTCATCAGCAAGTTAATCCCTTTGTCCCAGAAATGGGCAGGCCCTCCCAACACTGGCCAAGGTCAGGGCTGCCATCAGCCAAGGTAGGCAACATTCTCATTTTCACTTTCAAAGTCAAGAAAATGGTACAGATCTAAAGTAGAAAGGAACCAGCAGCACATGTTTTTAAATATTCATAAGGGCTGGAAATGTCTTACTCCTTTCGTTTTCTCTGCCATCTGCTTTTGTTTCTTTTCTTTTCATTCTTATGCCACAGCTGCAAATGAAAACAACCATACAATAACTCAAGTTAAATAAAAAAAAAAAAAAAATCAAAATAAAAACAATCCGAGGGGTAAAAAGAAAAGATGAATTACAAAGTTTTCCCCTGAGCTCACAAAGCAGTAGAAGTAAGAATGTTTGATGTGAGTTAAACCTTCTGGAAACCAAAATCCATGTCCTATGTTTATAATAACCATGATAAGAGCAACCACCATTTACTAAATGGCCCCTGTGTGCCACTTGATGACCAATCTCTCTAATTCTAAAGCCACTCTTCAAAGTAGATGAATTAAACCCACTTTACAGAAAAAGATTAGGCAAGTCAAAGAGATAAAATAGATTTTTAATGGTTACACAGCTAATAAGAGATGAAACTGAGATCTGAATCCAGGTCTGTCTGAATCCAAAGCCCAGGCACTTTCTCTACCATCCTCTCCAAAAATGGGAAGGGATTTGAAAAATTTAATTTGGGAAATATTTAGGGCAGACCATTTGTACTAAACGGATTTATTCAGATAATTAAAATCTGTGATTATAACTCTAATTAAAGTTAACTCAGATAATTGGCTGCTGTAATGTGCAATTAGAGTCTTCCACATAATTGTGGGGTTTTCGGCATCATACTTTCCATTTATTCACTGCGGCCCAGAGCTTTGCTCTACTGATCTCTGTTCTACCCAAGGCTGTATTATAGCTCTTGGGGTCTCTGGGCCCAAGGACCATGACTTGTCATACCAAAAGCAGGATCTGGACTCAGCCCCATTTAACATGTCTTTGTCCAGAAGCCAATGAACACCTCATCTTCAAGTGCAATGTAAAAAGCTCTCACAGCCTACACTGTTGTCCTGAAAACCCCTAGCAGCATGTACCTGAAGAAAAACTGGCAGCAGTGGTCCTCATGTGTTAATTACACTTTCGAAGTCTATTATGCATAGAAAGGGCACCTGCTGGCAGTGAAAATGACTAGAATCTGCCCTTCCTGTGCAGTGAGTAAATTGAGAGTTCATTTCTACAGGAGATAATAGTTTTCAGATTCCATTTCGTGTATCCCCTGCATGGGGACGTACTTAACATTTAAATCATCTGCAGAGGAACAAACCTCCTTCAAATTTACATGTTTCAAGCTCCTAGCACTTTACTTAAAATGCTAGTTATCCCTGCTGGCTCTTACCACCAAGGATTAAACTCAACAGTGGTGAAAGTCACCGAGCACTATAGAATAAAGTTATTAGCATTGACTCAAATTTCATGACATTTGTAGTTTCTGACCAAAGCAGTCGGTAGCAGGCTGAAGGTGATCAAATCAAGCCTTGAATGGGAGATCTGTTTTTTCTCTTGGGGGCCTTTTATTTCCACATTCTTAACATCTTGCAGTTAATAAACAGATACCAGTCTCCACTGGCCTGTAATCATCCTTTGGTCAAACGTCAAAAAAGTTCTTTTGTGAAAACAAGAGACCAGGAGAGGGACTGCTATATCGTTTACACAGAAACCTCCAAGATGGAGCCTAATCACAAAACCCACTCAGGCTCTGAAAAATGCAAGTCTTAGCTTCTCTTGGAGTGGAAGCTGGGGTTCACAAGGGCTTAGCAGCCTTCACTCTCGGGTCTTCCCTTCTAAGGTAGACCCACCAGCATCATCGCTCCCAGGCAGGCAGTTCAGGAGAGGGCTGGAGTTAGAGAGGAAGTTGGAAAGAGGATCTCGGATCACCTTCCACAGGAAAAGAGCAAAACAGCCAATAAATCCTTTAAGCAAACAAGAAAGGAGGGCTGGAAAGAACAACTGGCTAGAATAAATACTGATTTTTTTTAAAGTGAAACTTTTCAAGTATAGAAACCATACTTTTTCGTTGTAGAAACAGAATAGCGTAGAACAAAATAAAATAAAAATCACACTGAGTTCCTCTCCCTCCTCCCCATCACAAACCCCTGCTAACACTGTGGTGTGTTTCCTCTTAGATCTCTGCCTTTGTGTATGTGTGTATATACATATATACATACACACACATCCATATACATACATCTACATATGTATACACATATTTTTGTGTTTCATAGACACACGTTTGTTTTTATAAAAACGGAATCATTCAATACATGGTATCTATATTGGAACAAGTTACTAAACTTCTTGGGGCCTTGGTTTCCCGACCTGTGAAATGGAGCTAATGATACCCGCCTCCCAGGGTTGCTAGAGGAATTAAGTGAGATCACAGACTGGGGCATAGGAGATGTTCACCTCTGGCAGCTATTGTTACCACTGTAACTGACAAAACCTTTCTCTCTGCACAGTTCTGGGAATGTAAGCTGCTAGTTTTAAGCTAGCTGACAATTTAGCAACCAAAGCTTTTGAAATAATAGAAAAAGTCGTACTATTTGGGAGGCAGAGAAACTACAATGACGCTGCCAGGTCCTACCAATACCTGCACACAGAAGCCCATCTGTGCTCCCACCTGAAGCGCAGCATCAAAACACACAGGTGAGTCTTTTCCAGGGAGAACTCTAAGGTTTCCTCTTAAAGCACATGTCTGAGGTGAGGTGTGCGGGGCGGGTGTCTCTCCATGGAGGGATCAGAGACGTGCACAGGGAAGGGACCTGTGTGTGTGCGTGTGTGTATGTGTGAGAGAGAGAGAGTATGGGGGCCACATGTCTGTGTGGGGGTAGGTGTCTATGAGAGTGTTCTATGTTGGGGCTGGCAGCAGGCTTCCATGTGCTAAGGGGATTGGGAATCACTGTGTGAGTCTGTCTTAGGAACATATGTCCCCTTTCTACCTTTTCCGTCTATGCCTCTCACTATCCTCCTCCACCTTTGTCTGTCCTCTTTCCCCCTCCCACTCCCCTATCTCTTTCTTCCTGTCTGAGTGTCAGTGTCCTCCTCCGCCCAGCCCCCCAGTCTTTCATTCAAACAACAACAAACACTACTGGATAGCAAACATGGTCCTCTCCTTTGAGACACATGGCAGTATGGAAAAAACCAAGATAGTTGGTTTAGAAGCTCAAAAGGAAGTAGCAAGTCTAAGCAGAGGAATAGTCCCTTAATTTCATAGGAAGTGGGAGAAAGGCACAAATAAAAACAGCCACCTTGATAAGAAAGATACATAATTGAGAGAGAAATGAGCCGATTCACTTAGTGCTATGCACTGGAGAGGGCCACTGATTTTTACCTGATGGCCCTGAGCTATATCTTGGTTGTACACAGGGCTTCTTGGGATGAGAGTGAGCCCAACACATTCAAATCAGGAGTACTGCAGAATACCCTTAAGCTCCCAGGACAATCTGGCTACTTCAGCGAACCATCTCCAGTGACAGGATTGCAAAATGGGCTGGAAGAACCCAGCAAAGATTATGACTGACCTGATGGTAAATGTCCTAAAATCATCTGTTTTTAAGTGACAGGGCTGTGACCCCTCAGTGGGTCCCTTTCTCCTGAAGCTCTTAATTTCTGGCAGGCAGTACCTTTACCCACATACATACAGTGCTCCCTTATCAACGTCTGCTGACTTGAACTGTCTGCAGACAATGTCTTTAATCACATTATGCTACAGAAAGAAATTATTCAGAAAGAAAACAGATCCAAATCCGTTACACAGACAGTCTTTCTTGGTAATCTATCGAGGACAGACAGTGACGATATATCTGCGGAAACATTTACTGAGCCCTTACCATGAGCCAGCTTTTCTACACCGTGTCCCTTCATCTCCTGTATCATTTAGCTTTATATATTACATATGGAACAACTTCATTTTGCAGATGAGGAAACAAAGTCTTAAGCCAAGGGACCTGCCCAAGGTGGTAGAGCCTGCCTGCTTTCCTTCCACTAAAATACACTTCCCTGAACAGTGAAACTCCCACCAAAAAACTGCAGGGGGTTTTGAAGTCTGGCTTGTGCGCCCAGACCACAGCTGAAAACGAGTCCTACAGAATGTGCCAGGGTATGGCTGAAACTTGAAGACCTCGGGGACCCCAACTGTTCTCACCAGGCTCCAACCCATCTTGGGGGAAAAAGAAAAAAAAAAAAAAATCACACCACTCCTTGGTGCTTTGGTCTCTCCAAAGTGAGAGATGGGAAAAGATCCACAGCCTTGAATTCTGCAGAACGCAGTGGCATAGCCGAAAGCCATTTGGAAACAAAAGGGCCATGCAATCACCTGGTCTAAAATGCACGTCGTTTTGAAGTTAATAGTTTCAGTTTAATCACCAGTTGCATTACAAGGGACGGCCCTAACATCCTCGTCAGGTGCTGGAGAAGGAGAAGCAGGGGACGGGGTGAGCAGCGGGGTGAGCAGCAGCCTTACCAGCAGTAGTCCAGCAGATGCGGAGGCAGGACGGGGATATACACGTGCTGCCAGAACATGGGGTACAGCATGGCGGCGGCCCCGTGGATGCAGGCGGTCAACTGTAATACAAGCAAACCAAAACTTCAGAGCTAAGAAATCCACATGCGGAGACGCTGTTGTTGGAGGTGAGCAATAAAATTCAATACCTACTTCTCGACATTTTTAGAAATATGAGTTAACTCAACCACTCTAATTCAAATTTAGTAAGAGCTTGCTTTTCCTAAGAAATCTTCCTCCCCACCCTGATTATGAAGCTAATGCACAAAGACGGTAACAAGTTTAGAAAATGGAAAAAGGGGCAAAAGAAAATAAAAGCCTTCTACCATCTGAAGATAACTTGACATTTTGGGGAATTACCAACAAAGCACTTTTATTCCCCTTTCTAAAAAAATTAGGATTACTGTAAATACAGTGCTCATTTGCCTTCTTTTAAAGTTTACGTTTATTTGCTGGCATTTTCCCACATCCTTAAATATTCCTAGAAGACGTATCTTTTAATGACACTCAATGAATTTCCCACACTATATTTAACCACTCTCCCAACATTACAATATATAATCAGATCATGTCAATAATTTTTATACATGGTTCCTAGATGTAAGATTCAGAGACAGTAACTATAGTTTAAGTATAATAAATGTATTAATATAATAAATAATGGATGGAGGCTCTTTACCCTCCCACAGCCATGCACTAGAATGTCCTCTCCACACCTCACCAGGGCTAAGAACTGTAGTCAAGTTAGTAGCTTTGGAAGTGTATCTATTTGGATTTTATTTTTATTCCTCTGATCATGTCTAAGGCTTAACATCTTGTCATGTTTCTTGGTTATATTTCATAGATCAATGGTCTGTTCATATTCTTAGTCCACTAGTGAGTATTAGCATTTTTTGAAAGTGATTCACAAGCAAACACTGGATATACAAAGGATACTAATTGTAATGTTTCTGAAAATAACTTATCCTTCTATAATTTCCTTTGAACTGGGCAGGGGTGGGGGGGAGAGAAGGTTTAAATAATTTCACAGACAAATCTTATCCTTCATGATGGTTTCTACTGCTGTTACACTGAGAAAGGCCTCTAAATTCTTCCCCAGCATTTAACTCTTTAATCCATCTGGAATTAATTTAGGTTTAAGGACAGAGGTGAGAATTTATTTTTTCCACATAGTTAATCAATTGCCCCAGCACTGTTTACTGACTAATCCTTCCTCTCCCTCTTCTTTTGACATGCCCCTATTTCATATTCCTTCTTTTTCTTAAGAGCTAGACACAGCCTATCAGGATCTGATATAATTTAAAAAATTAGGGACAGAGATATAATGGGATAAAATTGCTACAAAATTCAGTATAGTGAAAGAAGGAAAAAAAACCCCAACACCTTTGGAGATATGGCTATGAAGTGACAAAAGCCAACAACACATGTTTCTTTCTGCCTTTCTTCTTTAATGTTTCTTTGGTTTCTGGGAAGCCTGTTCCCATGAGGTCTTTGCTTCTTTTGGAAGCTGTTAACTGGCCTTCGCTGACAGAAGGACATTTACGTGGCGAAAGAGTGACGTGCCAAGGCCCAGTTAAAAGAATCCCAGAGGTTAGTGTAACCTGAACAGCTTTAAATTGGATATTCTGCTGATGTTTCCCAGTTGTGAAAGCTGTGTATTAAATCCACAGCCGCTACTTTCTTCCCCTTCCTTCTCCCTCCAGACGCTGTTCTTTAAATCAGGTACATGCCATGAACAGGAGCTGATCCAGCAAGCTCTCAAGAGTTGTTCCCAGCGACTCTGCCAAGGCTTGTAGGTTTAATCCATCCCTTCTCAACCCATTTCAGTAGGATTCCATATAGAGAAGGCTGTCATATTTTACATGACTCATCTCTTCAGGGTTAGAAGAGATGAAAAATCTTTGCTGGTGCTGAATTGGGAGAAAATGAACAAACTTCACTCCAACTGTACCCTGAAGTCAGGCTGAAGGGTTACCCTGGCTTTGGGCCCCAGTTCTTCCTGCCCATCCTTTAACTAGCTGTCAAAGGACTCATACTAAAGTGCAGGTCCGGTCATGTCACATCCTCCTCGGCAGTCTTTGGAGGCACGTCGGGAGCAGGCGTGTCTCCACCAGCTTCCAGTCTACCTGGAGAGAAGCATCTCCAGCCACAGCCTCTGCCGCCTTCTCCAAGTTCATCCTCTGAATAAGTCGTTTCAGACTTAAGAGTAGCTATGTACTCCTTTCCTGGATCTGTGCCCCTAGCAAACTCCTCCTCTGGGTCTCTGTGAAAGCACTACTTTCCTCACATGGCTCTTCTGGGCATAAGCCCCCATTATTAATGGCACTATTCCTGTCTGCATGCCGGTCCTCTCACTGTAAACTCCAGGAAGACCCTGCCTCTCTTCCCTTCCGTGTCCTAGTGGCACAGCATCTCTGCAAGTGAGAGCCGATACAATGTTTCTTCCATAAATAAAAAACAATTCCTACTTAAAATATATTCACAATATAAAGATAGTTAGTGGCCTGGCTTTTAGCTATTGGACCAACATTTTCCTGAGTCTCACAGAGTGGGGTATAGGACTCAAATTCCAAAACAATAATGGCAAGCTTAGACACACAAATATGCCACCTTTGGCAAGTCATGTCAATGGATTCATTCTTTCTTGTCTTTCTTTCTTTCCTTTCTTTCAATAATACGCCTATTCTGTAACTCTACAACACGTCAAATAAATAAGTAAAAGCACTTTAAAATCTCTAAGGTGCTGTACAAATATAAGATGTCCTCATCACATGAATTCATTTGTAATTCTCTTTGGAAAAGTCATTCCAAAGAATGTTCCTGGTTAAGACAGAACTTGATTATTTCCCTCTTTTTAGCTTGAATTGGTTTGAGTCAAAATCCTATTTCAAGCAATAAAGCGACAGAGATCTTATCTCCAGACAATGTTCTTTTCATGTCTCCTTTCCCTCAAAAAGACCTAAAAGCTAAATGTCAAGATTTTAAAATTACCTATCCCTCATAAAAATTGAACTTTAAAGGTGCTTGATCATCATTCTCATTGGCGGTTTTCTAAAAGCCAAATCTCTGTAATTGGAGTAAAATGCATTTACCCATTTGGTTAAGAAAACAAACAGACAAACAAAAAAGAGAATTGTTTGGCTCTTTTCCAAAATGCAAAGTGGCAAAACAATATACATCATTACTTAGGAATAGTGGTGAGTCAACCATAAGAAAAGTGTTATGATTTACCTGTGCTTAATCAGAAATAATATTATATCCCATAAATTATCATTAGCCACTTATTTTAAAAACAACTCTAAGGCCAACTCCATTTGTAAAAATAAGGTTCCTAAAAGCCTATGCTCATTCCTTATAGAATACAAAATTTTAAAGTAATAAAAGTATACAATTTGAATTATAGTCAACAAAGGGGTATTCTGAATATTTAATTGAAGTGCAAGTTGAAGAAAATGATCCTATCAAAATCTCACTCAGTGGGAGAATAGAAAGATAGTATGTGTAAAATTTGCCCAAAGTCATTAGTCACAATGAATATTCATCAGAAGCCAATTATCAATCCCATTTAATGACACCCCAAAAGATTTTGCCCTGAAGCAGCTGAATAGTCTAAGACTCCAGACAAAACTAGACAAATTATACAGCCAACAGCCAGTCTAGCCAGGACACAGATTGTAAAGTAAACCACTGGTGGGTTTCTAGACACACTTTTAGCAAATTCTGTCCTCAATTAAAGGTGCACAAGGTCAGTTCTATCTTGGAGCTTTCTGTATGGCTCCATTAGTTTTCTTTGAGGCAAAGGGAGAGAAAGAAAGAAGGCAAAAGGGATAGGACAGGGAGAGTGATCAATGATAGAGCTGGAAAAATCACGAAGACATTATGTATGTATGTGTGTGTGTGTGTGTGTGTGTAGACATATTTTTTTTTTTCTTAGTTTAAGGTAGTTCTCAGATATATAATGCCTAGATAGCCACAGTCTTCGATTCTAGTTCCTTGGCTGATTCCTAATGGTAGCTCTGCAGTTTAACATGAAACAAAAGTAAGAGTCTCCCCTTAAAACAAACAAACAAATAAGAAAAAAAACCCCCAAGGAATCCCCACAGTATATGTGCCAGGTACCGTGTTAGCGGTTTAGGATACTGAAAAGTATTGTTTTAGAAGCGTGCATGTTTACATACATACACACTCATCACCATATTTCACAGATGCAGAAACAGCCTCAAAGGTGAAATAACTTGCCCAAAGCCACACAGCTCGTAAGTGACAGAACTGGGACTCACATCCAGGTCTGTCAGACTATAACGGCCACTGTGTTTCCACAATGCATAAATTAACTAAAAAGGTTTCTGACTGCCCACCCTGTGCCTGCACACCATGCTGAGGAGCCTGAACCAGGTGCGACACTGTTCCTACCAGCACGGCCAAATTACGTAGAAATAGGTTTGCCTTGCTGTTAGATGACCAAATATCTGGGGTAAAATACCAATTAACAGAAAATAATCATTTTTAAAACAAACACAGATCTGATAATTTCCTGGGGGTTAGTTATATAAACTAGGGTGTTGTATTGTCTTTAATCCACTGGAAATTCTAGACAAGGGCATAATGATTGCTGGTCAAATGGAAAGGCTTACACCCCAATCTGGCACACCTATTTCAAAGTCTGGCTTTCTGTCATGTTTCCTTTCATATACTTGCATGGAGCTGCCATTAACTCTCTTTTTGATCTGAGCAAGCCGCTTCCTCTCCTGGGTCTCAATTTCACCTACAGGAAAAACAAGAAGTTGGATTCTGTCATCTTCTGTGCCCTCTTCCAGCTTTGACAATTTCTGATCTAGAGGAATTACCATCCTTTGACGTGAAGAATGTGCCTCCCCTGCCCCAGCTCACCTTCTTCAGCTATACCAAGTATAAGTAAAACAGAGTCTGTCTCAAAGCTAGTCTTACTTTTTCAGGTCTGCAGTTACAGGGGCCCACCTGGAATTCCTGTGTTACCTTGGAACTACCACGTTTCAGCCACCGCAGCCCTAACACCTGACCATGGAGGGCACAGCCTTCCCCG